CCTATAATTCTTCTTTGAACAGGTCTATGTTCTAAACAAAACGTTCATTACCCTTTTTGCAAAAAATCAGTCTTAGGTATTTGCGTATATTGAGTTTCTTTCAGAGTTAGTTGCTTTATGGCCTCTTGTTACTTTAAATCCAAATAAGTTGCTGCTAGTCGCATCCCCTAGCTCATTAACAACATATTTAAAAATGGTTGTGAACAGATGTGCAATTATAAAGCCGTTTAAAATCTTTGAATAGCAAAAGTGGAGTCTCCTGAACAACCAACAAGAATGCAGCAAGTGATTTTGGAAAGGTAACCACTTGTCTTTTCCATCTGCGATTGTGCAGCACATGGAGCGGTAAAATTAACTGGCCAAATGTGCTGGAGCTCAGCTCTTCACATATTAAACATGAATATTTATTGTCACAATAGAAAGAGCAAAGAGGAGATGTTAAACCAGCAGCAAAAATATATATATATTTATTGAAAAGGGTGCCTCAAAATCAATACTTTTAGGCCATAACAATAACAAAAAAACATTACAACATCCTGGAGGGAATGCTAGATGCTTCAAAAGACTTGAGATAGGATGGATAAACGTAGGGAATGCCTTTACAAGGCCCTAAACCACATGAAGCTAAACCCAAGTCCAAAACCATAAAAGGCTCTTGAGGAGTCAAACAGAGGCTGGAGCTGCTGCTGTTATGAGTCTGCTGAGAGATGCTACAAATAAGAAGCAAATATATTTACAAACTATTGGTTGATAAAGAAACTAAAGTGTAGCTGGAGTTTGACATGTTTTTTGCTATGGTTATTTGTCAATAATGCTGTTAAGCTGCTGATTAATTATTTAAAATCTCTTTGTTTAATGAATAAAGTCTTACTGAGTGAAAAATCAATTTTTTTCCCAAAAATGACAGGAATATTTGTTTCCTTTCTAGCAAAATGAAACCGAATGAGAAATGATATCAGATTTTAAAACAGCACTGTTAGCAACAGCACGGAGAAATAGAAACACATTGCTCCAAAACATTTCTAATAATTTATTCAACAACTTTTCTGTGCAGCTGCCTTTTGCTTTGTTGATTATTTTTTTAAGCACATTACAAAACTGACTTTCACACTTCATTTTAGAAACTTTGACTTTAGTTTGTGTTTAATAAATGTATATTTCAGATACTCATTCATGGTGTGTGTGTGTGTGTGTGTGTGTTGTGGTGTGTGTGTGGTGTGTGTGTGTGTGTGTGTGTGTGTGTGTGTGTGTGTGTAGGGGTGTGTGTGTGTGTGTGTGTGTGTGTGTGTGTGTAGCTGGGTTACATTAGCAACACCCAGTATAAAAACTATAATCCCTTTATGGGTTCAGTGAGGGAATTTCTGCTCCCCATCCCAGTCACAATATTTTCAGTCATACACATGATTTCATTCAACATTAATTGACGGCCACACCTAATGGCTTTATTTCCTGGGATTTTATTCTCCTACATATTTAGCTAGGAAGGTCACAATAAGATATAGATGGATTTTTTTTCTTTCTAGTGAGTTTATTGAGTCAAGATGAGGACATGGATGCAGGTGGGAGAAAATTTTGATATTTATTTTCAGTACATAAATCTGGTAAAATGTGCAATACATGATGAAGAATAAGCATTGCTGGTTTCTCACTAATGAAAACCCATTAAATCTGGCCTGACAGATGAGTTATTGCCAAACAACAATAGCTTGCTAAAAGTAGCTTCTTTTTTTCAGAATATTCTGGGCTAAAATGTGTATATAGATAAAATGTAAACTAATCTCCCTGAGATTACGTCCAGTTTTATGTTGTGAGGATATTTGCAGTTTCTTTTGAGTGTCCACAGTTCAGAACCTCTTCCTTCTAAACTTCAACACCTAACTCTTGGGTTTACTCACGACACTGTTAAACATGTGTACACCGATCCAAACAGTCTCAAAGGGAAAACTGAATCCTGTCCTGTTGTTTTGCAAAATCATTTAGCCAAGTAGTTTACCTTTTTGAGTAGCAGAGATTAAAGAAAATGATAAATCTGAATCAAACTGATGTACACAGAAATGACATGAAATAAGCACGTTTTAACTGAACTGGATTGGTGTTTCATCTCTGTGAACATTTAGTCTGTTGATTCAACCTCCAAGCAAACAACTTTTGTAAAAGAGAAGGAGATTTTTTCTAAATGTTCACACAAATGTTTCATAAACAGTTTTTATTCGCAGTAAGTGAAACCTTGACAAACTCATTTGGTGCTCTTACAGTGAGTATACAGTAATATCTGGAGTGCCTAAACTGGCACCACATAATCCATGTTTATACAAGCAAGTGCACAGATGTGTCTGCTAGTCTCCACTTTAACAAGTCTCACTTTTTAATGGGTATATCCTGGTGTTAAATGTCGGTAACGTGTTTTCCCTGGCTGTGACGAAGCCGGGATATAAACATGCTATTCTGGCTGTACCTATAATCGTTCTATTAATAACACCTATAACGTCTGAGTCTCGTTCTGCGGCAGAAGGGTGAAAGAGTATTTACTGTGTGCAAATACAAACCGTTTCCAGCCACCACACGTTGTTAATCTCCTACTACACCTCAGACCTTCACAGCCCATTTGGGTCAGACTGTTTTAGCGCTTCGCAGTCAGAGGGCACGCTGCTGCCGGTGCCACCGGTGTCCCCTGTGGTCCGGGGCGCCACCGCATATCCGGGGACACACCTTTCTGACCAGACGAACTGTAAAGTCTGCCAACCGTGAGCACCAATGTGCAGACTCCTGTTTTCTTTTCTTCAGTGCTATCAAGCCCTAAAGCCCCTTAAAGCTGATGTTGATTTTTAGGGATATTTATTCTCCTGATGATGCACAATATGCTGCCAGAAGTTGACAGTTACAGTAGCTGTGATTCCACTAGCCATAAAATAGCACAAATTGAAATTATGAAAATAAATTTGCTTGAAGGAAAAACACCAGTTCTGAAAAAAACTCAAGTTTTTTGATGAAATGTTGTTGCTGTTGCTTGAGATGGTTTTTTGGCCGTATCCAAATGGGTGTATTTGGAAAAACTGCAATAGAAAAATTTTTTTGCATCACAAGTCAGGTGACCAACAACCGGATGTTGCTTCTGGCGAAAACGACACAATATGACAGGAAGTGGTATGAGGACGATGGTTAGTTTTGGGGGTTTTTTAGATAACGTGCAGCTCACAACATCCCACAGTTCATAAAAAGTTGTGTGTCATTGGAAAGTGTTGAATCCACAGCTCTTCTGTAAAATCACAATTACAATTTCCCCAAAACATTGCATACATAGCCGCTCCCACGTATTAGGGTCTTGTCACTCCAATGCCTGAATAAGTCAAAAACAATTTTGCATATGTGGTGCCTCCATTAAATAAGGAATGAAATTAAAGTTGTGTCTTAATACGTTTGTCCACACAAGTCATTAAAAATAATGCTGCCCCATCCTACCATTTCCTGTTGTCTTCTTCATGGTCTGCGCCAGTGGAAACATTTAGTTGTGGATCATTGGACCAGTGGTCCAATTTTGATATGGACAAAAAAAAAATCTCATCCCAGTGCCAAATCTTTTATAAAAAAAACTAGAATCCTTTCAAAATGACCATGTTTCCATAAAGCAAATTTATTTTTGAAAATGTCAGGTTATTTTGTGTTCAAAGTCAGAGGTCATGCTTAGTGGAAACATACAATTTGATGTTTAATATGGTCAATAATTGTGCTAAATGTAGCATAGCTGGATTCCAAAAATGTGCAAATACAGAAGTTTCATTTCATTCAATCCATTTTGACTGTGGCAATAAAATCAGTAAGCTTTGATACATTTTTAAATCTTCATAGAAACAGAGAACAAGGTGAACTCTCTGTTCCAGGCAGATTATATTTTCTTTATAGTCCAGGTTTCAAAACATCTTTCATATTTGACCTTTTCCACAGAATATATTTTTAAAAACTGTCTTGACAGCCTTTATTCTGCTAAAAGTTGTGAAATAAAATATATTTGATGGAGAAACAGGGCACCAAAATAGATAGTTGGCTTTGCTTGAATAAATAGATTATTAGCCTTATTAATAGTAAATTAGTTCCTATCGGTATCTTCAGATTGTTTTTTTCTCTAAATTCTTTGGTAATGTATTACCCAGGGGTCAATATAGTTGATTGACCCTGAGATTTTTAATGTATAGAAAATTATAGATTAATGGACAAACAAAAGATATTTAGATTGTTGACTTAACCATTCAAATATAAAGTAGACAGTTATGATTTCACCTTTTTCAAAAACAGCAAAAAATAAATATTTGTTTAATTTTAACTTCAGTCATCTTAATCTTGTCAACCGTAGATGACGTTTTAGTTCATATTTATAAAAAAATGTCAAAAATCAACAGACGTTCAGAGAACCATGCGAAGGACTTGATGACTTTCTCTATGATGAATCAGAAATATTGTTTTTCTCTTGCCCAGTTTTATTGTTCCTTTTCAACAATGTGAAAAGGAACAATAAAAGCCTCCTGCGCAGCCAACATGAAGGCAGCAAGTGGTTTCTGGATGGTAAATCAACAACAAAAAACTTCTCTTTTCCAGCAGCCATTGTACAGCAGTAAAATAAGCTGATTAAATGTGCTGGAGCGCAGCTTTGGTTGCTAGGCGATGGGCTGTGCTTCACTTGGGTTGCTGCTGATCCGAACCAAATTACAATACAGATATTTTGATAATTGCTCACAAGGGAAAGCGAGTGACAAGGAAACAGAAACCCAGTGATGGCGCTTTGTTTCGGTAAAAAAAGTGTGTTTGTTTGTGTCCTCTGTGCGCCAGCTGAGGATTTACGAGCCAAACAACAAAAGAGAACATTCTCAGGTGCTCCTATTAGCAGTGTTGATTACAAGGTTTTGAAAAATGGACAATTACTGGAAAAATGTGACCTAACAAATTTAAGCACATATGATGCACATATGGGACAGGAGTAAGTACAAAAGGGGGGAAGGGACCAGAGCTTAATGAATGGGTTTTAATGAACAATACTGGAAGGAAAACAATGCAGGTTTGGTTTCTGTAAAACAAAGACTGGAAGGCAATCCACACACATCTAGTAGTTAAAACCTCTGAGTTGAGAAAAATGGGAGAAGATGGGATGGCTTTAGTCTTCAAGGAGGTTCCTGGTATCTGCTGATAGGACTCCCCGCCTACAGGCAGAAAAATAAACTCTGAGTTAGGATGAGAGCAGAAGACTTTCCTCCACAGATAAAAATCCTCCAGGAAAAATGTTTGGGCTAGATAAATCCACTAAAATGATGTATGCAGTGTCAGTGTTTGAACTGGAAATTAAGACAAATGTAATTCGTTTTAATCTGGTGTTTAAAGTGATATCTCAGAAAGACTGCATAGATGTAGATAAATGGAAGTGAAAATGGTGGACATGAATGTTTTGGGTCATATGAACTGGTGATGCAACAGAAACTCCCAATAAATAATAATTATTTAAGAAAATTGATTAATTGTGGGTTATCCATTGAAAGCACCCCATAAAATTCACATTAAACAGCAACAACTTTCAAAATATTCTACATTTTGACACATGACTACAAACTACAATGTATTTTATGGAGATTTTATGAGACAGTCAATTTTTTCCGCATAATTATGTAGAAGTAAAATAATGAGTTATTTTAATTTTTAACTAATATAAATCTGGACAATGTTGCATGCATTATAGTCTCCTGATTCATTTGGCTGCAAACAGATGCACATTTATGCAATTGTACATTTTTGAAAAGGAGAAGTAGAGCCTCCTGCGCAGCCAACATGAAGGCAGCAAGTGGTTTCTGGATGGTAAATCAACAACAAAAAACATCTCTTTTCCAGCAGCCATTGTACAGCAGTAAAATAAGCTGATTAAATGTGCTGGAGCGCAGCTTTGGTTGCTAGGCGATGGGCTGTGCTTCACTTGGGTTGCTAGGTAATGGGGCTGGGCTCAGGTGAGGTTGCTAGGTAACAGGACAGTGACATAACAATTCTCAACGCCAGAAAACATAATAAAACCAATTAGTTTGGGTGGGTTTTTAAGTACCTGAGCTGGTTTTAGACACAGTAAAAACCCAAATGGAAGAGTAAAAATGTCCAAAATGTGATGTTTGCATAATAGTTCCTCTTTAAGGCTCTTCTCAAGGAGGAAGGGGGTCTGCAAATGAGTATGTGCTTTCAAAGAACATGTCTCGACTGCACCTCTTAACCTTAAAATATATATTAAGCTAAATCTGAGGCTGTTCTTGGAAAAGTGACTCAGTCTAATCCAAACAGCACAGTTACTACTAAAAACAAATCTGTCTGCCTGACAATTCTCAGACACAGTTGAGCTCCATGCATGCCAGACCAGGACTTATTGTGACAGTGGACCTCAAAGATAGCATTGCACAATCTGGCACTGGTAACCAAAACCATCAGGACTCACATAACTGTCACAGTCAGAGTCAGCAAAATTCTTCAGCCTGGTTGGAGTTTTTAAAAATATTCACTTTCAGGAGCCAAAAAAGTGTGATTGCATGTGGAGGACATCTTATGGAAAAGCACCAGAGGGTAATTCAAACATGACCCCAACAAGTTCAGTTTAATATAAAGCAGCAAATGTCTGAAAGGAGCTTCTGTCATGTCCAGACAATGTGAATCTGCGGTTTCCATAAATCATGTCGGAGCTGGTAATGTGTTTTATCGAGGCTGTTTCCTCCGTGTTTCTGTCAGTCGCTGCTCCTCCAGAGAAATTTCCGCCCTCGCTCAGCTCTGCAGGAATCGAAAGGGGGGAAAAACAGTCTGCATCATCTGCTCTCGATCAGAATAATTATCCTAAGAAATGCTATACAGAGTCTGAGCGAGGTGAGGGGAATGAAGCACAGAGGCTCTTGGCGAGCGCCTCCTCCAGTCATTATTAGTCATTTCTTTGCTGTTTTGGAAGTGGATTGGGCAGCGCATCCAGCAGTGCATCCAGCAGTGCATCCAGCAGTGCATCCAGCAGTGCATCCAGCAGACAGACAAGGAAAAAGCACGATGAGACTGTGATGCTAAGAGAAGATCAGCCATCTCTGACGTCTCTGGAAGCCATGAGCATTAGCGTTATGTGTTATGTTATGTTAACATTAGCATTATGTGAGGGACCATTTGCTGGAGACTTTAGATCAAAGTACCCTGCTCCCCTCCCCCCACTCCATTAAAATATGATTCTATTCTCTTTCCTATGAATATTTTATTTTGCTTTGTTATTAAAAATCACTGTATTTCATTGTCCATGTTAAGCTGGACATTGATATATATGTTGGTAACTATTCTGGCTGAGAATGAAATGAATTTAGTAAGGGTTCGGTTACTAAACAGGCACTTAGGTGCAACACGCCTGTAACTCAAAATAACCGAATAAGCTATGTAACTTGGACCGCCCCAAGGAAATAAAAAGAAAAGGTGCAGCAGAGCGTGCTTTAGAACAGGTAGGAGATTGTAACTAAAGCGCGCTCCTGTCCGTTAGTAAATCTAAAAACTCACTTGTCTCTCTCTTCTTTTTGTAGGTGCTTGGGTTCTTTGAACCTGACATATTGTAACTTTAGTTTCAGATTATTTTTAACTTTTTTTCATATTTTCAAAATATAGATTTTATTCTCATATTGTTATGACTTTATTCCTCATTATTTTTGTCTTTATTTAATTTTCTTTTGGATCACTAAAGTATTTTTGCATTAGTTTTTTTATTTCATATGACTTTATTCTCGTATGATTTTATTTGTGTAATTTTATCACTTTATTTTATAATACGCCGTCATAAGGAAGATATGAAGGCTTTTCCCATCGCGGTCAGAAAACTCCTTTGAACATCAAACCCTGCAGGGGGATGAAGTGCTGAGATCCTGTCAGGATTTGTGGAAACTTCCTGCAAGAATTTCTTGGACTTTATTTTTTCCAGCTAAATTGCAAAACAGCTTTTAAGCTGAACCCTCAAATATTTTACAGTGAATAACAGACAAATAAAAAACTGAAACAATTATGTGACTCTGTTATCCATTAAGTTTTCATTTTAAGAGCACTTTGGCAGAAATACAAGTCCACAGGGGACTGGAAGTCACCCTGAGTGAAAAATGATGTTCTGAATTTTTGGTTCAACCCTGAAATTTCAACCAATCTGAAAGATCTGGAACAATTAGACTGGCCTGTGTACAATAGCTGCTGCAAATTCTCCATACACATTGATAGTTGGAAATGATGTGGAAATATGATGCGTTTTAGTTTGTTTTTACATAAAGGTCATTCAAGTTCAGTTTGCTCACTTTTAGAATAACTAAAACATCTGTCAGAATGAACTCACTATTCTGATGGTTGAGTTTATTGATTTGATTTAAATCATCTTTTGAGAACTTGGTTCACACCAGGTTATTCTAATTAGGTCCAGATATGACAAACTACCATCAGTCCAAAGTTAAATGAGGTCATAGGCTGAATTTGTTTTTAATCGAATTCAAACATGACTGCAACTGTTAACCAGAAGTTAAGGAGCAAAGTTGAAGCAACCACAGAAAAAAGGCTAATACTCAATTTATTACTTGAATATTACTCAATGTATTTACAGGTACAACATGCTTTAACTATTTTATAAGCTCAGAAAATGATTCAAATAAGTAAATTAGCTTCAACTTGTGTCTCTGTTAAGATAACATTTAAGCTAGGAAAACATGTTATCGTTTTCTGACCGTTTGTGATAAAAAATAAACTAGTAAAGTAAATATTACATTATGAATACGTCAGCTTCATTGTATTTGTTTCAGTGGTAAATATGACTTATTCCATTTTATCAGTGAACTTCACAGGCTGTAATTGAGAGAAGAAAGATACAACATTGTCTATATAAACTGTTGTGTCAGCTATTCATTTCTTCCTCAAATTCTGGCTTTTTGAAGATGATTTTACTTTAACTCTAAAAAAATCCATGAAACTGCAGCTGAGTTCTGTTTTGTGTCACTTAAGAAAAATTGTTTAGCTTATGAAAAGAATAAAAATCTCTCCCAAAAAATAACAACACTTTAACTGAACAAGATCAGTCCCTGAAATGATATAGAGAAACACTGTATGATCTTCAGGTCACCTGTGTAATGAGCTCCTCATACATCATGTTCGAGTTTCCCGCCTGGGAATCCAGATCTGTCACCGCGTCTGTATCCAATGATGTTACACTGCATACAAAAACGGGTTTTAGATGTGGCTAAAGGGAAACAAATGACTGCATTTTTTCTTAACAGCTTAGTGGATTTATATCCACCCACCTGCCAGGTCTCTCTGCTTCCTCTAGAGGGCGCAGGAGACTCTGTGCTGGACTGCCATCATCTGAGCTCTTCTTCTGTTCCCCAATTTTCTTCTCCAAAGTGCTGAGCTGATGCAGGAGAGTTTGTCTCTCATCCATCAGATAGTCTTTGAATCTGTGGAAGACAAAAAATAAATAAATCCACCAATCTTTGATCACTGACCAGATTAATTGTATTTGCACATACTTTCCAGAAAGTAAAAGGTCAATTTTCTCGAATGCATAGATAACTTTTTTTATTTATTTATTTCCATGTAGATTTGCTTTTGGTGAAACAAGCAGTGATGTGCAGTCAAGGGAGATGAGGCACCTGTAATCCTGATAAGTAAAAATAAGACCATTCAAAAACAGATGCCAGCAATGATGAGACATAAAAGTAACATCACACACAATTTTAAATTTTAATCAGAAAAGTGAGAAATCTGCCAAAAGTAACATTAAAATGTGACCTTATTTAATATTATTTTATATTTTCTTGCTGATATAATTAGTTATGGTTAAAATGTAGCTTCTATATTGAATTTTGGATTTGAACATCCGACTTTGGTGGAGTCTGTGCCTCACCAGTTATGCACGTCACCGTATGTTACTGGAAACAAGTCACTCAATGGAGTACCAGTAAAGTAGGATATTATAAGTCAATTCATAATAAAGCCCAATCCTTCAGATTTTATCTGGAATTTTCTACAAAATTCTAGAAAAATGTTCTGTAAGTTCTGCAAAGTTATATGTACCAGGAAAGTTTTGAGAAGCAAAATTTGAAAGAGCGCTTTTAGTCCCATGAAAGTTCTAGCGTTCTTGTTTTTCTCTAACTTGCAATAAACCAAAGATTGTATCGTGTCACAGAAATTTATGGGAGCTCTTAATATTTATGAAACATGTTTGACAAATTACATGAAAAGCTTTATCTGTGCTTCACATATTCCAATTTTTTAAATGTGCCTTTAAAGCCCAGGAACTTGACTTTGTTTCTCTCCGGCTCCTTCATTGTTGCGGTTTGCCCTCTCCGCTGTCATTAATTTTGTTTACAGGCAGCAGGTTTCTGCTTTTATTAGCCAGGAGAGCGCTGCCCAACTCCCAGCTCAGAGGAATGGATTTATTTTCAGAGGTTTGGGAAAGTTAAGAAGGAACACAGTGAAATTAATAACAATCTGAAGGAAATAGGAGGATTTAGTCAGTAATGTTTCTCTAAATCTGCACATTGTTAGCATGTGTTTTTGCAGCATAATGTGTTGTCAAGACCTTTAGTCTTTAAACAAACTAAACCATGTGTTTGCCCAACAGATGTTTTTTACTTTATATACAAATAATATAACGTGTGAACTGATATTGGAAATAATCATGTTTTAACTGTGTTGCCTTGTTTGTTTTATTCATGTAAACAATCCCACCTTTTCACACAACGCATCCAGTACTTCTGTTGCTGACAGAGCCACTCGAACTGCTCTGCCGTCTCCTGCAACTTACTCAGGCTCCCTTTATTCTCCTGCTGCAGTTCCTTCACCTTTAAAATACATTTTAAATAAATAAATGTGATCATTTTTATTTCCCCCTGATACCAGCATGTGATAAAAACAATAAACTCAGGAAGCAGTGATTATTGCAAACTGCAAATATAGATTAGAATAACGACTTGTCATGCAGAAAAATGAGTGAGAGCGGCAGAGTCTGACATAATCTCCAATTCCCAGGGCTTTTGCAATATTTCCCTCTCTGGATCCCTTGCTAATAAATGATCTCATTAAGTTTTCACTGACTCTGCGGTCTGCTCCGCTGTTCTCCTGGCCATCTGCAGATGTCTCAAAGAAAGTTAATTACATAACCGGATTGTTTGCTGCTTGATGGACTGGTGGAAACCGAGGCCAACACGGGGGCCGGTCTTTGAAGCTCACAGTAAATAAGAAAAACCATAAATCTCTGTGATCCACAAATGTACAGATGCGCTAGAACAAACCCAACACCAGTAAAGTCTGGTAAGTTGACATAAAAAATATATATTTATGTCTGTGGTATAAATTTGAGTCCTAAGCATACAGGTTTCATTATAATTACTTCCTCCATAAAAAAGTCTAAATAAACTGTAAAACTGTTAAAGTTCTGCTAATTACTGATTGTTTCATGTTGAACAACGTGTCCCTATTGTGACATCTGGTGGACAAGAATGGCATTGCAACTCTTTTTTCACAAAAAGTGGTTTTGTTCATACAGTAAACTATTGAATCTCAATGCACTGCAAAAATACAAAATCTTAGTTTAGTTTACTGTTTAGTTTCTAGTGAGAATATTGGTGCACTTGAAGACAAAACTAAATTGCAAGTGACTTTTAAGATACATCAGGTAGTTTTAAGTTAAAAATTTCTTAGTATTAATTTTTAAAAGTATTTGTTCCATTGACAGATCATTTCACTTATGACATGGGGAAAATCTTGTTATAAGTGAAATATTTGACAGTTTTAAGAAATTGTTAACTTTGTCACTTGTAAACTAGTTTAGTCCTATTTCAAGTGTATTAAAATGTCTGCACTAGAAATTATATTAAAAATACTTGGTAGGATTTCATGGTTTTGCGGTGTGTAAAGACTCCTAGTCTTCCTCTAAGAATCATTTCTTCAGATTTTGTTGTCAAAGACAAAGACTTGTTTGGGGGGAAGCTTCACTGTTATTTAGAAAGATGTGCAGAAAGGATCTCACCTCCTCCAGATGAGTTTTACGGAGATCCTTCAGCTCTTCTGTCAGACCGTTGTTGGTTTCCTGCATTTCTTTCAGCTGCACCAGCTTACTGTTCATAGCAACCACAAAACACAGATACGTTTGTTTTTCAGCTGTGGTACCCACGCTTCTTGTTTTCATTTGAATACAAAGAAAAAATAAATTACATTTAACATGCACATGTAAATGTTTTTCTTAGGGCTGGATAATTTGGCTGCAAAACGTATTATAATAAAATTGTCTCATATCAGTCGACATTGATAATTATTTATTTGCTTTTTGTTTGAAATATCTGAAATACTGTGAAACGTATTTGGTGTAACCTCTTCTGATTCATCCAGAGTTTTCATTCCATGCCGTTGGTTTTTTTAGTTTTTAAGCAGGTATGAGGCGCATGTTACTCAACAGGTTATTGACCAGGTATTGCAGCTACAGCCTGTCCTCTGCCAACATCTCCCAGAATGCTGTGCAATTCTTGATCACTGTTCATTGAAATAATTGAATATAATATGAAATGTGTTACTTTTTGATATCGATCACATATATACTGTGACTTATGTAGTTGTTGATTTATTTTCCAAAGTATCAGTATAAGCAAAGAAGCTGCAATCAGAGCAACATGAGGTCGAATTAAAAAAAAAGAAAACAAAAAACCCTGAAGTCGAAATAAAGCCTCAACATCTTGACATCAATCAAGGTTTTTAATTAATGTTTTGTTGTGTTTTTAATCAAATTACTTGTACATTAAATTCTTAACCAGAACTTCGTGGCAGGAGAGATACTGCACCTCAACTTTTCTGGTTAAATAAAATTAAAAAAAAGGCAAAAAAGACAAGTCAGAAACTGCAAAGTGTTACAAACACATTTCTGACAGTGCACCTGTAACACACACAGTCTGGGAATAACACGCTCCAGCTAGGGATTTAAGAATCACAATGCATAATTAAAAGCAAAAATAAATCTAAACATTAAACCTTTTGCAGATGATAGTGTCTCTTTCATCTGTAATCCCAAAAATATCATGCTATTAAAAAAATGTGATACAAACTGCAGGATTTAATTAGACAAAGCAAATGACAGCTATGTTTTCTTACATTTCTTACATTTTATAGTTTGTTTTAATTCATTTGAAAATTAAAGAGTGTTTTGAAGCCTGTCGTTTTTCAGGGTAGCTGATTTACAGCTTGATTCAGTTTCAGTTTTCACTAAACTGATGTTTTTTTTTCTCCAGCTGTTTGATCTTGTTTAGTTAAAACAGCTGGAGAGACACACAGGAATGTGCTGGAATCGAGCTGTAGAATTTCAATATTTGGATGAACAGTAATGAAATGATTGAAGTACTGTAGAATATATAAAAGAGGGCCAAATGTACTTTTCTAAAAACAAAATAGCAGCTTTCTCTATCTTAGCTCTCCTGTAATAAACTCTGGTGTAAAAGTGATTATAAATTAGAACAAAGGTGATTAAGGGTGTTTTCATCATCCCTTAATCCAGAAGACTCGGTTCAACTGGGGACGTTTGAACCAGATGCTGTGGTTCACTTTCACACTGCACTGTCAAACCAACCAAACCCCTTGAAAAACCTGTTCATCTCCTCGCCTGTGGGGGCGCTGCACCAACAACCTCTGAAGGAAACAACACATAAACATCAGAAGGAGACATGAGAATGTCTTCTTTCTTTGTGAAATGTAAATGGAGTAGTGTCAGATTATAGAGACTGTAGGATTTCTCTGTTGTCTTTGGCAGAAGACCACTAGTCATTACTCTCGACTTGGTTGTATTTACACAGAATGCCCTGCGATGTGTCCATTTCCTGCTTTTGGAGAGGTCTCCAGCCTGATTGGTGTTCACACATGAATTTGAACCGCACCAGATTTTACTTCAACATAGAACATAGAGCTCAGTTTTTAGGCGGACCAAAGTTCGCTTTTTTAGTCCTCATCAGAGTTTGGTTGTGCGTTGACACTTCCCCAAACAATCTGGTATTTCTAAACAAAGGAACCAGAGTTTGGTTAAAGCAGACTAAACAAGCCTGGTGTGAATGCACCCTAAGTTTATCTGTGCTTACAATCAAATTTCAGAAGCAAATGGAGCTGAAATGCATCTACCTGCACAACTCTGCATGCAGTCTGTCTGTCAGAGCTGCTCGACGCTGGGCCTCAGCATGCAGCTCCTCCACCAGGCCCTCCAGCTGCACCTCGGAGCTTTGCAGACACACCAACTCTGAGTTGACCTGCTGCAGCAGCTCCACATCCCGACGACTCTCCTCTGCAAGCAATTCCATCCGTTGCTGCAGGACGTCCACCAAGTTCTGCAGGAGACACTGAAGGACATGAGCAACACTCATTCCTGCTGCGTATTCAGCAGATTTAATTCTGATTCAGTGGAGACTGAGATTTGACTAAAATATCATCACAACCAATCAAATAAGTGGCATAAAAGAGCCTTAAAGTCTAACTGAATGGGACAAGCCTCAACCTGATGTAGAGTTTGTTTAGAAGGTTATAGTCACTTGTCAAGGTACAAGGTTCGAAAAGTTTTGTATTCAGTGCAAACTTTGATGCTTGGTAGAATGTTACTGATATTTGAAATAACGAGACCGAAATTGTAAGATCTTACTGCATGAACATTCTAATCTATTGTGATAAAATGAAATAGAAATTTCATAAAATTCAAAGAAAGATTTATGCTTAAACAGTGAGAAATTTTCTTTCAAAGGAACTTTTAATTAACTTTGTAGTTAATTTCATTGAAAAACAGCAGATTTCTTCAGTTTCATCTTTTTTTTGTCATACTTATATGTTTTAGATCATAAGATTATCTTTAATATGAGACACAAATAACCTAATTGAACTCAAAAGGAAGTTTTCAGATGATCTATTCACATATTGAAGAAAAACAGCAACGTGGTTCTTTAATTTCTTACCAGGGATGCCAACAAGTGTGAAGGGGACTAAATATCTCTGCAACCACATGTAGAGTGAATGTTTTTCTCAAAGTTTTTCTTAGTTCATCTAGACTTTTATTGTATCTTGGTCACACGTTTGAGTTTCAATAACAGAAAAGACCTCCCAAACAAACCTAAAAAACAGGGCGGGCAATATTCGGTATGAAGTTTTAAAATGAATGCTGTATCATCTAATAATGATTCTCCATCAGGGAGAACTTCATGAGTCCACCTGCTGCTGACGGATCCTGCAGATGAGCCTGTCCTGGTTTATCCTGAGCTCCAGGTTCAGCTGCTCTTGCTGCAGGAGACGAGAGGTCACAGCTTCCAGTTCATTCTGCAGCTTCCTCTCCTTCTCTCTGGACACCAGAAATTCTCTTTCCAGCACTGCTGCAGCCAACGAAAGACAACACCACAGTCAGTTTAACACACTGAAAGGTCGTGCAAGTAAGCAGCTCTATTGTTCTTAAAAAGGAGCTCAAGACAAGACCCGGCAAGTTTGTTTTCAAGGCATTTTACAAAGACACTGACATTTTATGATGATAAAATGAGATGTTGATGTAAATGTGAAAAAATAAGGTGCTTGCCTCACTGTTGCCACATTCTTATTGAGGAAGAGGGATTCCCTGAAAAGTTAGCAATTTCTTTAGACTGATGACTTTTTTTACAATTTGCATTGAATTGAATTTGCCACCATAATTTTTCACCTTGTTTGGATCGGTTAAATGCTAAATGGATTAATTTTAGCTAACTGTTATGGTCCATTTATGTGGCACCATGACGGTGTGAAACAGTGTCAAAGGCAAAACAATGGGTCAATTACATGATATTGGAATAAATGTAACTTCATTTGAATCTTTCTGTATAACAGGATTGAATTAATTATATATTTCTGAATTTAAACTATTTTTTCTCTTGTGAAGTGTGTTGAGAGGACATTTGTTGTGAAATGGCACTAAATGAATCAACTAAATGAAACTGAATTTGACACATAAGTAACTTATTGATTGCTTTCCCAATGTTAAGAATGAAAAAAAAAGTTTTGTCAATGATTTAGATGTAAAAGGGAATTTGAACATGGAGTGATTGAAAGCTATAAAGGGGCTTGAATATTTAAAATCTGATTAAAACTTTTGTGATGGCAATTTACCTACTTCTGTGTTTTGTTTGGATTTAATTGCTGATTTTCTGTGTTTTGTTAATATTTGCTATACTATAGCTATAAAAAGTGGAAATGTTTTATTTTTGTAAAGGTAGACACTTATAAGATTAATAACTCACACACCTAATAGTTTAGAAAATAAGCACTGCAAAAAACACAAAATATTACCAGATATTTTTGTCCCGTTTCTAGAGTAAATATATTAGTACACTTGAATTCAGACAGAAAAACTTTTTACAGGTAAACATTTCATTTAAAACTGTTTTGTAATTTGTTTTAAAATTCTTAATTTGTGTAATCAGGTTATAGTGTGTTGCAAATTTCGGAAAATGAGATCTGGACCTCAGCGGGGGTTTACTTGGTTTAAATAAAGAAAAGGAAAAACCAGCTTCTCAGCTATATATATGTTTTAAGTAAATAATCTCTTACTATTGATGACAAAGTACAGATTATCTCGCTTTGTCAAAAAAAATGTACAAATGTTTTCCCACCAATATTAAGAAATTATTGAGTTCAAACACTCAATAATTTGCTGCTGAAAGTTACTTGTAAGTTTGTGTGATTTATTTCAAGTGTACTAAGATATTTGCAATAGAAACTCGACCAAAAATACTTGGTAAGATTTTGTATTTTTGCAGTTTACACTTTACATCCAGTAAACTAAGCAGGCAGTTTTCATCTGAAAGTCCCAACCTGCATGACTTACCCCTTTCATGAGCCAGGCGGGTGCATTTGGCGGTCAGGTACTGGATCTGACTGTAGTCCTCGTCCCTCTGGGCTCTGAAAAACCTCTTCATTGCTTGTCTGTCCGTTCCCGACTGCTCCAGATCTAAAACTCTCCCATTCTGATCCTTTCGGGTTGCAAGATGTGGGTGTGCCGCGTGGTAAGGAAGGACATGGTGTGCACATTTCCAGCAGTGTTTAGCTCCCTCACAGCGATGAGCTCAAAGGTAACTCATACATGCAATGGGAGAGTTGCTGCAAACGCTGTGTTTTGTCTCCGTTAATGCTGGAATCATAAGAAAGCCACACCGTCACTTGTTCCAATCTTACAATTATAGATGTGATTTGAAGCTATATGCAAATCTGTGGAGAAACTGTTGCCCCGGGCTGAGAAAGGGCTGAAAGAGTGGGGCAAGTTGTGACTAGCAGCAGGTTTGAAAGCTGCAGCCTCAGGTCAGAGCTTCATATGGGATTGAACAAAAAAAAACTAAACCTATCCTTAAAAAAAGATTAAAAATGTATCATTGTTGTGTAACATTGTAGAAAAACTTGAGATTTGGTTATTTTTTTCACCATTTTAGCAGCAGATGTTTTGCTATATTTCAAGCCCTGATGTAAATATTTCATACCTTACTGCCACTAAAATATGTCTCCGTTACAAAAATTCATGTTATCTGCAGTCGGGGAGAACATTTCTTGGAATGGTTTAACCTTCTGGCACTTACTCACTTCAATACCTGGTCTTTACAATGAGAAAATGTGGAGATTTTGGATTTTTCTGAGAAAACATAGAGAAAATCCTGATCAGTCAATTAATAAATAAGTTCAAAATGAGAGAAATGTTTCATTTTTCTATACTTTTTTGTAGTCTATGGACAAAAAATTCATTTTTATTCAGGATTAATGGTCGTCATTTGACTGAATACTGAATCGCATTGAAAACTATTTTTCTCAGTAATTAAGAGAAACTCATAAATCACAAAGAATAATTGCATCCTCATAGTTAAATTCTCAAAGTGGTTATTTATGTTCATTTTGATGATTTATTGCTTAAGGATAAGAAAAACTTAACATTTAAATTTCCTGAAAAATGTAACATAATATAAAAGCAATAAATTAAACCTGCAATAAAGTAATGCCTCCATGCATAATTATTTAAAGGTGTATTATTTTTTATAAAACATAATTTTGAGGGGAAACAGAAAATATTAATAAAACAAATACTGAAATAATGCATGATTTTAACATAAGAAGATCACATATTACATATACTTTTTACATCCAGGTGTTTAACAGATTATGGACATATTTATAGATTTTTTTTTATTTATTTCAACATTTTAACATAAAACATAAATATTTATTAGAAAACTTATTTATTTGTTTGAATGTGATGCTTTAGGTCCCTACATTTCTTAATTTTCTTTTGTGAAGTTCACAAACTTTGCAATATATTTATCTATATTTATTGATAAAGCTACATAACTGAATCTCTGCATATAGGCTGTGGCATATTCACAGAAAAACTACATTTACCAGCATAAAAAGTTCATTATTTCAATTTACATGAGTAGTTAGGTTTTAGATTTGTAGTCATAATTTAGTTTTGGTTTGATAAAGTTTAACAAATTCATGAAATCACAATAACTTAAAATTTAAAGTGTCTGGAAAGGATTTGACGCTGAATGCCTTGTGTAATTCCTACTTTCTGCAGGCAGAGGAAGACAAAACTCATTCAATGAGAAACTTAACTTCATTACTATTGCTTACGTTTCACTGTCATGTACCTTTTTGGGTGAAATTAATAGGCTTTTTAATATAATTGCCACTTGACTCTTGCAATGTAAAGTTTAATATCACTCATCTAAAGGCTCCAACACACCTGTCTCAAATGTGAATGGGTGCCTCAGCTGCAAAGTATCTGTAGCGATTTAGAAATTATTTTTGATGACAAGCTTTGAAACAATAAGAAATCTAAAATCTATCCCTCTAAACGAAGTAATGAACTTTGGTAAAATATGGCAAGCAGTCTGTGGTTAGAGCATGAAAACTAGGCAGCTATCCAGTTTCTGTGTCTATATCAGTAAACTAATGACTTTTTCCTTTAAGATTCCATTAAAGAATGAGCAAATCAAAATTGTTGATCAGTCTTTTCCTAAATCCTTTCAGAAAATGCTTATAGCCTTCTGTGTCACAAAATGTGATTGAATGTAGCGCATCTGAAATCTTGTGTGATGGAGGGTATATTTAGTCGGATTTTCAGATTTCTTAGTAATAAATGCTGCAAAGTTGGACGCATTATTAGTCATTCAACAGAACGGATGTTCAAAAATGGCATTTATTAAAAATAAAAAAGGAGAAAAGGAAATCACCATGCTGACCGTCGTTCTTTCAACACAAGCGTTGTAGATAAAAAAAAGGAACCAAACGTTGACTCGACAAAATAAATAAATACAATATCCTCTCATCATTATGAGCAACAGAAACAAACAGAGAAACACAGAAACCCATCCCAGAACTTCACACCAGCCTCTGTCACATCAAAGGGCTTTCACAGCAGACTATGAAACAAAATAAACTTGAGAACATTTAACTTATTGAGCTTAAAACTGGAAACACACAGATGTTCACACCTCTGGAGGTCGCCCAGCAGATGGACTTGCATACAACCAAACATTGTTATAGTCACATAAAAGTCAGTAGCAGCTTTTTTTTTTATTGAATGTTTTTAAGAGAAACTATTAAGATTGTGTGAAGTGAAGCTTTTAATATGACCAATTCCTTTGAAAAAAGCAATACATTTTAATTAGCAGTTCTGAAAATGAAGCCTAAATGTTTTTGGTCAATCATATTTTGATTTCTGTAAAAACTAGTTTTGACTGAAACTGGTTGATTCATCCTGGCCTTCTTCACTGAATGAATCAAAAATCCCAATTTTATGGATCTGTAAATGCATCAGTGAACATTGATGCGCTTTGTTTTTAATTTAGTCAAAAGTTTATCAATGAAAGCTTTTCATTATAAAATAAAAACTTACACATTTGAGGTTTTACAGTACAAAAATTTGAATTGGCAGTTTGGAACAAAAGAAAACAAAAACTGTTATCAGTCAATAAAATCCTGATCAGTGCATTTCTGATAAAAAAAAATTAAGAAAAAAACTATGTAAAACAAACTCATGTTCTCCTTAATTTGATCTGAGAAAAGTGGATTGGTTGCTAAAATTTACTTTAACTCAATGATTAAAGATTTAACCTCAAGGAAAATTTTAACCCTGTTGTTTTAGAACGCAAATAAAACCCCGAAGAGAGAGACAGTGGAACGATGCAGCAACAGTTTTTTATCTACTGACAAGAAGAGACGATCTAAAAACCAATACATTCTCTGCAAGAATAGAGGAATTTGTTATTTTACTTGAGGCTGAAAGAATAGGAATAAAGATATTTTATACTTCTGCAGCACATCCATCTCATATTTTTCAGACAGTATGCATAAAAAAACATTCTGCACAGAATAAGAAACAAAAGCTATAATTTTATTCCCTCAGCCTACTGAGGAAGGCATTGGCCTTAAGAATTAAATGACAGAAGTCCGAATGTTTGGTGAATTTGTGATTATTGGAGGTTGACTTTTAGGGAGTCATCTTTAAAACTTTCAGTCAACATTTTAATATATTTTAATGACAGCCAATTAAAAATTAGACAGTTTTCCTGTGATAGATTTTCTATGTAAAACTAAGAACTTTGACCATTTTTGTTAAATAAATGCATCAATCACCACCATGAAATTTGATGCAGTTATCTTACTTTAAGAAATAAAAAAAAAAACATCAGATGAATGTTAGGAACATACGATTCAATCCACAACCAGAAATTACTTTGAAAACATCAACTATGATGTTTTCAAAATGATTATCGACCAAACTGCAGCACACCTTTTCTCTTTGATGTGTTTTAGGAAACAAAATCTGAATTGACAGATTCGAGCTCAAAGAACAATTAACACTGATATTTATCTTTACAGTTTTTAGATTTTGTGCTGTTTTAACTAGTTCTATATAAATCTCTAAGTCTGATAACTATTTCAGAATTTCTGATCGTTTAGAATTTTTAGAAAGAATAATTAAAATCTGCTGACAGATCTATTATGTTGGCGACCACTAAAATCATTCAGCACATTTTAAATCTATTTAATCTGAACACACTTTATGAAGTGTCAAGTTGGGGTCAGAGGAATTAAAAATTTTATTATTTAACAGAAACTCCTCCATACATTGTCTGACTTTTGTGGTAATTTTGTGATTTTGAGTTGCTACGAAGAACATTGTGTACATTTTTAGAAAAAATTGTATTAAGTCTGAAGCACAATCTGTGATTGTGAGACAAAAAGTCTGGGAATCTGCCAGAGGAAGAGGCATCATCAGGGCTCGACACAAAATGAGGAACGGTAAATAATCGATGCAACTTGAAGATCTAAACCTTCCCCTCAGAGAAAAGCTGTGTTCAGGCTGCAGCTTAACTCCATGTTTAGATCCGAAAGCAGTTTAACAGCCGCAAGCTGCATGCTAGAGCAAAATGTCATAAACCTCAGAGACAACCTTCAGAGTTAAAGCAGTGAATGTGCTGGAGTTTTTATCATGGAAACGAAGCAAATATACTAAATTAACACATATGCTGGTTCATTGATACGATCAAGGAGTCGGATTGCAAAGTTTAAAGACTGTTGGTCTTTCTAACAGTGCTGCTGTCCTGAAGCCAAGCTAGCTGCTGAAAAAGCAAGCCTTTCTTGCTTTCTGGGCATTACAGTGCAGATGTCCCACACAGAGTATAATCAGAGCAAATTGATGCTAAGATGGTAATAAAATCTGATGTCTGGGTGCATGCCAGCCTGCTGTTCTTTCTCCTGGTGCTATTTGCTAATCAAAAAAGGTTTAAATGTCATATGTCGTCATGTTTTAGAGGCAGAATAAATTAATATCTAAAAAGTATGAAATGTAAAATTTCTGTTGACTTTCAAAACATGTGGCAGATTTCAAAAGTAATGAGTGTGTTTGCGAGCATAATGTTCAGCAGGTAGGGAAATGAATTGTTAGTCATTATTTTATCTTTAATGCCATTACTGAATATCTGCTGATTCCTGCATATTGCATTAAAACAATCCTCTGAAATGTTTTTCCATGACAATTAGAAAAAAGAGTATTGTTTTCTTTTTCCTTGGTGTCTGAGCCAAATGAAGGAGAGAACATTTGTGCAGATACAAGCCTGAACCCAAGAGAAAAGGATAAGCAACATATAACTTCTTCAAAAGACGCTGATTATTAATTCCTGCCCTGACAGTCAGGT